GAAAAAAAAAATCAAGTATAGCAGTAGTTCAGTAAAAGTTTTGAACAAGAGAAAAGCCCTAGATAGTTCTTAGGCTTCTTCAGCAGGGCAAACAGTGCTTCAAGGACAAGTAGGAAAGTAGCTGCTATTTGAGGCAACTTCATTATAAAATCATTTTTAATAAGCTATCTGAGCAAAGAGAGGGAGTGCTCTTGCAGAGAAGCCCCCAAGGGAACTTAAGGCTGCCCAGTAAAGTTATTAGGAGGTTACACACAGGGGACCAAACAGCTATTTTATTGGCCTCAGGGGACAGGGTTTAGTTTTCACCTGTTCTCTTTAGGCCTTGGTGCTAACAGCAGATCCTGTTAACTATCAATATTCTGCAGGCTCCCATCTTGTGAGGAAAAGCAGCATTTACTTACTTCAGCTGGGACTCAAAGCATATTACATGAAGTAGACAGTGCAACTCATGTAGTAATTATAAATCAGATCAGGAAAAAAAAATCAAAAATTTTCCCTATAATGCAATTAAGCAGAATAATCAACATGCCTCAAGAAATCTTTAGCAGTGAGACTCATGGCCTTGTACATGTACTGAGGAAAAGAAAGCTAGAGAAAAACTGAAATTTGGATCTTGGGTTCAATTAAGCTGCAAAACCTTAATATGTTTGTAGAATTTTGGACAAAAACAGTTTTAGGGTATGTGTAAGTCTCAAAAGCTGAAGCTCTGTCTCCCTTCCTAAAACATCCTCTCAGTTGCTAAGAAAAGAACACTGCTTTTTAAAAACTGTTCAGAGCCAGAAATAAGAAGGGCTTGTTTTAGGAATGGATCTCTGCTCAGGATAGTATTACGAGGAAGTCAATGCCTGACGAACAAGGCACTGTCTGTTTTGGGGCTAGTTGTGGTGCAGCCGCATTGAAAATAAAGCACTCCGAGCTCCAGCCAAAAATTTGGAGGCTTGTCAGGTTTAGAGGTACCTACTGAAAAAGCTATGGAACTTTGTGCCAGTACAACATCTGGGCACTTAAATACAGCCGAATTTATCTCCCTATGTTTTAATCAAAACTTTCAATTGCAGTATAAGCTTGAAAAATGAATTGAGCACTTACTCTGAATTTCAGTCTCATTGAAATAAAAAAATAAAAAAATAATTAAAAAAAGTTCCATTATCAGTGAGGTCAATCTTTACCACAAAGGCATAAGAAGAACCAATTGGATTAAATTTTATTCGACCTGGTTGAGGTGCAGGAACTGAGCTAGTTGGCTACTGATCCCTTGGACTGCCAAAAGAAGCATGCTCTTCCACTCTGAATAACACCTCATTCGAAGTGATGAAGTAGGTCACTGACAAACAATTTTAGTCAAAGCTTACAAAGGGCTACCTCACACACTGCATGTAGAAGCAGTCTGTGGCTGTACTCAAAAAAGGGTGTATCAAAAAAGATACTCCCAGCAAGTTATCTCTAATTCAAAGTATCGCGTCAGGGCAGGTGAGAGCACTCCAGTGAGGTCCTCAGTCATGCTCTGCCCACAGGAGTATCTCTAGGAGCTGGGCTCCTAACTCTTTTTTGCAGCAGAGCATTGTACCAATCTAAGAGCTTCCTCCAGTGGACTGCAGGAGCTCTAGAACGGCCTTACAGATGAGACAAAAGATAGTGTGAAAAGAAGGACAGCAAAATCAAGGTGTACTTTTTTTTTTTTTTTTTAACTTAAAAACATCAGGTAAACAAGTAACTGAATGTACCTGAACCTTCATATAGATATGAATCCCAGCTATGTAATCTAACTCCTCTGAAGCCTTTGACCATAGTTCACTGAAATCCAAAATACCAAGATAAGAAGTTTCCATTACATGAAGAATTCACCACATTAGTCTTTTAGGTACATAAGCAAGAGGTAAATCCTTTCTCTGCGAGGCAGTCAAGTCAAATGCTTCTAAGAAGTTCAGTGCCCAGGATACAGAAGAAGTCTGGACAAGAGGAACCTTTATTTATATGATAGTTCTGAAACACAAGTGGTGTGGTAGAGGCCAGCAAACTGATTCTATGAAGTATGGCAAGATTTTGGTTTAAGATGACAAGTGAAATACTATATATGGCAGGGGTGAGCATAGCTCCAAGCCAGGAGGTACTAAATGCCAGGTGCTCTGCAGCCTTTGGTTCCCTGGAATATCATATCTTTATCATCACCGTTACAACAAAGACACCTGTCTGAATTTGTGAAAAAGCTGGAGCTGTGTATCTAACTTATATATTTTTTGATTCAAGGCATGAAACACGAGAGGAAGAAGGTCATGTTATGAGTATTACTTTGAATTAAATGACTGGAAAATAACCTAAGTGTCAGTCATAATCTTTTTCCAATCAAAAGGAAACTGAAAATACCTGAAGTCCCACTTTGTATGGAAGATGAGATAGGACTTGGTCTCTAATATCTGACTTAGCTATTCTCACACAAGATGAGGGATAACTTAACAAATCAGTATGTGAGCCCAAGAAAGAATAACTCTGCAAATAGACAGCAGATAAGAATTTTTACTTCAGAAGTCTGTTTCAGAGTGAAATATCGCATTTTTGGGTGGACAAAATTTATTCTCATTAGTGCTGCTTGGAAGCAGCAGCATTACAGCCCATGTTTAAAAATGGCAGGTTTTGTAGTGCTCAAAAGCTGTTACAGAGAGAATGTGGAGAAGCAGCCAATGAAAAAGAAAACCTGGATAAAACTTCAATTTGGTGAACCCTATAAACTCAAAAACTCAGGCATTAACTTTATTTTTGCATTTGGGTTTTTGTATAAAATTGATTATTTTTTTTTTCCAAGCCATTCCCAAACTGGTTTTTGATATCTACTTTTTCTATACAATAATAAACTTTCTCTAATAAGGAAGAAATGTTTTTTTCTGTGCAATCTTAAAATGCCAAAGATGCACAACATACATCAATTCCTACTCTATCTGTCATAATGGGAATGTATGTAAAAAAAAAACAACAAATAAAGCTGAATGAATCCCATAGATTTGTTAGCAAATGTAGCCTAGCATTTTCATTACGCCAATTACAGCATATTGATCCTCCTATTTTAATCCTTCCTTAATGCACAAGTTAATCTTCCCATTATTAAGTGAATCTTCCCATTCATACTCCAACAATTTCGTGAAAACTGATTAACAAATTGGGGAGCTACTCTTCGTCAGAATAGCACCCAGTTCTCACTTAGCATAGAAGATGTTGGGATCCTAATTTCTGTCTTCGGTAGTGTACAGGCGTTACATGGTGAACAGTAGCTAATCATCTAGCAGAGCTGATGAATACAACTTTTTGTCATAAAAGACCTCAATCACAGCATCCCCTGAGACACATGTGATCCCATTTTATTAGGCCAGCAGACCTTAAGAACATTCCTATGCTCTCTAGGTCCTTAGTTGTGATTTAGTTTTCCCTATTAAAAAAGTATTGAATATTGGAATTGGCGACGCGACTTTTAAAACAAGTCAGCACGTGGCACTGCTGCACTCAGCTGTAGTTTCAGCTGATTTGCAGGTGGAGTGTTAGACAACACCATGTAGTCATCAGCCTCCATACGAAAGAGGCCCAAGCCTGAGCTAGCACAAATACTGAGTTACTTACCACCTCTAGAGAGGGTGGTCGCTCCAGGCCAGGGTTGAGCTCATGGGCAAGGCTGTGCAAGGAAGCTGTCTGTACAATGCCTGGCCTGCGGATATACAGAGGACTTCAGTCTCCTGTACTGTTAGTCAGTATGAGCTCAAATATTCACTAAATATGTAAGGGTCACATTCTGCTCTCAGAGGCCTATCTGTAGCTCTCATTAAGGTGAATGGAAACCACATTTGCATTCACCCAAACAGGAGCTGACCCTAGGAATGCATTAAGCGAGCAAGATCACCTAATCAGAGCACCGTCACGCTCTAGAACTTGGTAACAAGTAACATTTGCTTCAAAACTCTTATCAAACAGCTTCTCAGTAAAAGCTCTTATATCAAGTAGTTGTATTTAGTAAATCTATATGGGGAGATTTCACAAGTGGCAGACGATATCAAGTCAGGTTTTACATTATGTGAAACATTTTAAAAACAGGAATGAATAAGAATGAAATTATTGTAAGATATTTTGGGCCTACAAAACTGCAGTAAAAGTATTTTAAATGCAAAACTCTGTTCAATTGCATTGTAAATCTTAGTAAATTTTGTGCCTCCTGTTTTGTTAGAAAGCTCTCATAAGACTAGTAGCCTCAGCTTTATCTTCCTGCTATGTGAGATCCTGGGCAAGTATAGTTCCTGCACTAGATTTCCAATGCTTCATGGTATCCAAAGAATCTCAACATACCTCCTTTAGCTACAAATCGTAACGTTTTCTTGGAATTGTGCTTTTAACTCACAGTAGATAAGAGTTGATCCCCAATAATGACGTCTTTGAAGAGGATTCAGAATAAATGTACATGTAAGTAAATGCACACATCCACATCCGTTTCCAAGTTTGCCATTTATGAGGATTATCTATTTATGTGGTTGAGAGCAAAACAATAATCATCTCATTTCCATCAAGAACTCCTTAAAGCACAAGCACAGAATGATTTACCTTATAGATGAATGCATAGGAAGAGTCAAAAGATTTTGAACTAAATAATTTCTTATTACATGAAACACATTGCATATATAACAATATATATATATATACTTCTACATATAATAGAAAAGTCTTTCTGATCAACCGTGTTTTTCCAGATATTTTACTTACCAGGTAATTGTAAGATACACATATTAGAATAAAGAATTCTATTTTTTGTCTTCACATCTTTCCATTCCTGCCCTTTGCCTTAATACACACACACACACATGCATGCACACACACACAGTATATCCAGATAGATGACATTTCAGTGAGGACTGGAACCACCCTAAAGCAGAAAACTTGCCAGCATTTTTAAAATCGAACCTTCCACAGCATGGCCTAAACATGTACTCCACTCATAAAAGAAGGACAAATCAAAAGACATTACTTACATGTATGAGTCTTCTTTGTTACAGAAATACCTGTAGGGAAGAAATGATATAAATGTTAGCAAAATGACCACGACGTAAATTCTTCTGACATGTATTTCATGGTTATACTACTTTATTTCAGGCACACAGCTGCTACTACAAAAGAGGAATGAAAATTATAACGATTGTTATGTTAGGGAGAGAAGGATCTCCTTTCTTTGCACTCAGACTTTAATGCTATATTCTCTCCTTACACCTCATTAATGAATGTTTCAGCATGTATCACTTAAATGCGCTTGCTGGAATGCATATCTACACCGTGCTGAAGCAAATGGAGGACATCCACAACACTATGGAAGCTTCCTTTTACTTCCCCTGGTCAGTAATTTTACCACGCTCATATCAACCAGTACACAACGGTCTACCCAGCCAGAACAGATTTGAGCAGTACAATTCATTTGCTATGTTATTAAGCTCAAGTAGCTCCCTGACTGCAAGTCGTGTCTTATGCTCATTAAAAATGAGTAGCACTCTCAATATGAGTATTAATTGCTGTACTTTCAAGCTAGATACAAGTATTTCCAAACTGTTAAACACACACTTTCTGAAATAATGGCAATGTCTTTATACTACATAGGCATGTGGCAGCAAATCACCAATTTTCCAGCACCAGTAAAATCTGAGGGGCACTTTAAAGAAAGCAACACAATGAACAGCGAGGCAAAATTCATAATACCAAATAAAGATAAAATTAACTCTGCTAAATGTCACTGGAATTCATGCTTGAATACAATCAATATTGTCTCCACTTTAGTAGATAACTGATTCTATACTCAGACTCTGCAGTATTTAAGCTTCGCTTTCCTTGAGGGGAATTTCATGAGAAGTTACTGGAAGTAGAACAAGTATTTGAAATATTTGATTGCCGATTAACACCAGTAATGACAATTAGGAATCAGAATCATTTGTCTTACTGTTTACGAAAGAGGCATTACGAAAGCTGTATCTCCTCAGCTATCCTCTTTCTCCTTTAATCACCAAAAGCCTTTTGGTTTTGAATGATATATTTCTGCAAGTATGAGCACTGACACCACTTTACTAAAGAAAAGCCAAGTCTGCAGGCTCTGGGGAAAGAAGTTCTGAGCAGTTCCTCTGAGTAATTTTGTGAATGGGAAACACTGGTAAGCGATTCACAAAAATGAGACTAAAAGGCCTTGATTAGATATGTCTACTGACTTAGATCTGGAAGGTCCCAGCCAAGCCTACGCGTTCCTCACACAGAAGTATTTGTCCCTGCCCAGCTTCCTTGGTCAGGTTCTACGACCTAGAGGATGTCTTACTGAATAGGAAATGCGAAGGAAATAGGTTTTTAATACAAACACCATTTGCAAAACTTCCTCTGCAAACACTACTGCTGTTGAATTGATACGTCAGTGCATTTTCAGCATTATGGGAGCCATATGTGTGCTTTTCTCAGAAAATAACGCTTTCTGTAAAATCACTTTGAACAGAAAGTGCTTATGCTGTCACTTCTGATTACTCACAGCCTCTTCACAACGGGATTTGCCTCAGCACAAAACAGACTTAGCTGTATTCGCCGACTGAGGGACTACTTCCCCTGATACAAAACAGCGATGGAAATAGCAGCGCTTATATTTTTTGACTTAATTCTTTTTTATCTGAGATGAGTGGTGGGTTTTTCCAATCAAATGTTTCCACAATAATTACTGAGTACCATCTGATGAGCCTTTCAGTTATTTTATATAGATATCTGTAGATAACCTTTAACAATTGTTAAGAGGCAAGGTTTTTTTGTTTGTTTTTTTGTGTTCATTTGTTTGTTTATCATCTTTATAATTACACTGGTAGGTGCAGTGAAATCAAAGTATTTTTCTCTGAACTGAGTTTTTACAGTGACTAATTGCGACCTGCTGGACCCAGGATAAATGTTGCCAGCAGTTCAACAGGATGAGATTTAATCAGGAATCTACGCTTGTATTAAAATAAGTCTAATTTTTCCTTCTAATTTTTATTTTTAAGAAGCCTTCCCTGTCACATCAGTAACCATGAGCAAGTGGAAAATGTGAGCAAAAACATACTGGGCTATCCAAACAGTTACTCAGGTTGGATGTACTGCAGCTAGAGCTTTAAATATTAAACATGCAATGAATTCCTACATCGTAGCACTCTGTTTTAGCTTTAATGCAGGAGGCCTGCTATTCAAAACATCTAAGAAGTATAATAAACTCCTAGAAATTAATTATAAAAAAAAAACAGTCTGAAAACTACTTCATGTAAGACAGGGCTGTTGCACAAGCTTTGGCTTTGTTTCTTTCAGTCAGTGCTAAATCCCACTTACATGAATGTTTGCATGCCTTTCCTACGAGTCTGTATTCCATAAGTCTTATGCAGACAACTCGGTAGTTCTTTTGAAATCCACAAGATCTCTTGAGAAACTAGTTCTGGAAGTTCAACACACATCAGTAATTTAGTTCACAAGAACAGGCACAATTAATTCCCGTTGTTCCTACATATTTCCAGGAATGGATGAATTTACACAGTTTGAGTGGACATGATCTAATACAATGCTGATAGACAAAGATGTATTTATTTGTAGTAAGTGGAGTGCAAGTGACCTACTGATTCCTTTAAAAATGATATAGAATTTTTAGTAGAATTCCATTTTTTAGCATTTCTCCTACGTGCAGCATCATTTCAAAGTACAACATGCTTGAGTAATACGTGACAACTTGCCATTATTAGCATTATCCTAAACTGACGACTTTCCATTTCTTTTTTTAATTAATAAAAAAAAAACCTAAAATACAGAAAGCAAGAAACAACCCTAGCTTCATGTTGTTAATACATCAAGACTTCCTGACTTAACCAACTAGACTTCAAAGTAAAGCAAAGGAAATGTCATGAAAATACCACAATATATCACTGCCATGGTTATCAGTGAGTGAAAGTTTCAGTATTACAGTTATCACAGAATTTATCACTTCAGCAGTGCAATTTGACATTCCAGATAAACACCAAATCTTAAGCAAATTAACTTCTTAGACTTTTCATTGTTGCTATGCAATGCTCTTTGCAACAGCAATCATTTTTTTTTAATGAAAAGAATTCATAGCACATTCCCTTTCCCCCTGCTGCCAACTACATGTAATTTGCCACGATGGGTGATATTTACAAAAAGAGCTTTCTGTACGCAATGAACTTTGAAAAGAGTATCTAACAACAGAGACAGGATATTCTTTTGCAAGAAGTTAGCCTGACTGACCTTCACCAGCCAGCTTCAAATAGAGATAACAATGTCTTCAAGTACAAAAAGACTCAGATATTTTATACATTATAAGCTATTTCTCACAGTTGCCCATCCAAATAAAGAAGCATAATGAAATGCTGCTTACTCTGTGAACCCAGATCCCCGCTGCTGCTGTACAGTTGTCAACTTTCCATATTTCAAGGGGAAAGCATACTTTGATGTACAGAATGATAAACAAAAAGTCCCCTGTCTGGTGGAATACATTACTCTGCAAAATATCAAAGGAGAATATTCTTGAGAGCAATTTTCTTAAAACTCCAAGAAAACCCTTCCTCAGAAGTTTGTATGGATAAAGATATGTGTCACTGGCAAAACCAGGAGCTAATCTTCAGGACTTCTGTTAAGCACTGTTTAGAGTTTGCTTACTTTTTGATGCCCAAGCCCAGGTGATTCTCACTGGTCCAATGGCAGAGTATGCAGTTAAATGATCTGCATGCACGATGCTTTGCTCGTGTGAGTGCAAGCATAAACACCAATACTTTTTGCTTACTTCCACCTTCAATCCAAGCCAGCATTGTGGCTTTGGTATATTCTGGAACTTAGCCCTTTTATGACAGATTGCAAATCGTCAGGAAAAAAAAAAAAAAGATTAAAATTTTAAACTCTATGTCTCCTGCCTAATGTACTGTGTAAAATCAGGAAGGAAATGTATTACAAGCTTGGATCCCACTGTGTTTCGTCCTGTCACTCCACTTTTTTTTTTTACTTTGTCACTACACAAAGCTAGCAATTAAGGTGGGAGATTATATGTAACACTCAGGCACTTGCAGAGAACCTACCAAAGCGGAATAATAGATCTGAGTACATTCAGACAGGAGTTCATTCTTTTAGAAACCCTAATAATGATTCATATTTAAGTCAGTATGGATCTCTGGCTTGGGGGTGCTTGTTGGTCTTTACAGGCAGTGTTTATAGCAACCAAGGTAAAAATAATGTGCATACACGTATGGGAATACAGGGTAGGTGGATTTAACTGAAGAAAATAACGCTGTAAAACAGAATCCTTGTCTAGGGCACTGAGTGGAGCTGTTAATGACTATCAGCACATATTATTGAAAGGGCTTCAAATAATTTTAGCATTTTGATCCAAAAATTGTTAATGGGCATTAATGTTAGTACTGCACTCCAAAGAGAAATAAATGATGTGCCAGGGTAGCAAAGGACAAGGACGGCGTACACCAGGCATCAAAGCACTAGGTACCAGAAAACAATGAACATTATGTAACGAGGGGGGAAAAAAAAGCATTGGTTTTTCTTTTAAAAATAATTTTGAATAGGATAATTGTAATATATATATTAATAATATTCCAGTTTTCCCCAGATTTTTTCACAGCTTTTAATGACTGGCAAAAAGCTCACCACCTGAAATGAGTTTTTCTACAGAGGTTTACATTATGCTTTTGCTATAAGGACCATATGCACCAAAATTCTAGAAATCAAGACTGACCTAAATCTTTCCATCAGTAGTGAAAAACAAAATCTTGATTTTCTAAGATGCACAGCTGTTCCTCATACATAAATACTACCGGAGTATTTCTCAGAACTTTATTTTTGAGATGTTATTCTAGTCCTACTCCAAGAATTACACAATTATTTCAGAATTAGCTACAGAAAAATGTCCACTATTTCTTCAACTTCCTGCCCAAACAGGGATGCAGGAAATTTGACAAAAATAGATTAAAACCCAAGTTTTCTTTTTTCTCGCTTTTCTTTCTTTTTTTTT